ATATATACAGCCCCTCCCTGGGCTGCCACCTTACCGTGGTGGAGGGCTGTGAGTGTCCCAATGATCCTAGGAGCTATGCTGTCAGGGGCTTTATGCCCCTAGTAGGGTCACCCAAGGCAGACAGGTCCTAGGTGAGGGACCAGACAAAATACAGCCCAAATACCCTTATGAGTAAAAGAAATGGACTTGATGTTCCCTAGCCCGGACGTGGGTCACCGGGGCTCCACTCTGGAGCCAGGCCTGGAGGTGGGGCACGTGGGCGAGTGCCTGGTGGCCGGGCTTTTACCCATGGAGCTCGGCCGGGCACAGCCCAAAGAGGAGACATGGGTCCCCCTTCCCATGGGCTCACCACCTGTGGGAGGGGCCAAAGGGGTCAGGTGCAATGTGGGATGGGTGGTGGCCGAGGGCAGGGACCCTGGCGGTCTGATCCTCGGCTACAGAAGCTGGCTATTGGGACGTGGAATGCCACCTCACTGGTGGGGAAGGAGCCTAAGCTGGTGTGTGAGGTTGAGAGGTTCCAGACACCAGAAATAGTCGGACTCACCTCTACGCATGGCTCTGGCTCTGGAACCAGTTTCCTTGAGAGAGGTTGGACACTCTTCCACTCTGGAGTTGCCCCTGGTGAGAGGCGCCGAGCAGGAGTGGGCATGCTCATTGCTCATTGCCCCCCATCTTGGTGCCTGTGTGTTGGGGTTCACCCCGGTGAATGAGAGGGTGGCCTCCCTCCGCCTACGTGTGGGGGGACGGGTTCTGACTGTCATTTGTGCTTATGCACCAAATGGCAGTTCAGATTATCCACCCTTTTTGGAGTCCTTGGAGGGGGTACTGGAAAATGCACATCCTGGGGACTCCCTTGTTCTGCTGGTGGACTTCAATGCTCACGTGGGCAATGACCGTGAGACCTGGAGGGATGTGGTTGGGAGGAACGGCCCCCCTGATCTGAACCCGAGTGGTGTTCTGTTGTTCGACTTCTGTGCTCGTCATGGATTGTCCATAATGAACACCATTTTCAAGCATAAGGGTGTCCATATGTGCTCTTGGCACCAGGACACCCTAGGCCGCAGTTCGATGATCGACTTTGTCGTCGTCTCATCTGATCTGTGCCCACATGTCTTGGACACTCTGGTGAAGAGAGGGGTGGAGCTGTCCACTGATCACTACCTGGTGGTGAGTTGGCTCCAATGGTGGGGGAGGAAGCCAGTCAGACCTGGCAGACCCAAACGTATTGTGAGGGTTTGCTGGGAACGTCTGGCAGGGTCTCCTGTGAGACAGAGCTTCAACTCCCACCTCCGGGAGGACTTCGAAAATGTTCCAGGGGAGGTGGGGGACATTGAGTCCAAGTGGGCCATGTTCCGTGCCTCTATTGTCGAGATGGCTCACCGGAGCTGCGGCCGCAAGGCTGTTGATGCCTGTCGCGACAGCAACCCTCGAACCCGGTGGTGGACAACGTCGGTGAGGATGCTGTCAGGCTGAAGAAGGAATTCTATCAGGTCTTTTTGGCCTGTGGGACCCCGGAAGCAGCTGATGGGTACCGGCAGTCCAAGCGACATGCGGCTCAGGTGGTTGCTGAGGCAAAAACTCGGGCATGGGAGATGTTCGGAGAGGCCATGGAGAATGACTTCCGCAAGGCTTTGAGGCGATTCTGGTCCACCATCCAGCGTCTCAGGGGGGGGAAAGCGGTACACGACCAACACTGTTTATAGTGGGGGTGGTGTGCTGCTGACCTCAAGTCGGGATGTTGTGGGTCGGTGGTCAGAATACTTTGAAAACCTCCTCAATCACACTGGCACGTCTTCCACTGAGGAAGCGGAGCCTGGGAACTCTGGGTTGGGCTCTCCAATCTCTGGTGCTGAGGTCACCGAGGTGGTTAAAAAGCTCCTCGGTGGCAGGGCCCCAGGGGTGGATGACATTCGCCCGGAGTTCCTTAAGGCTCTGGATGTTGTAGGGTTGTGTTGGCTTACGCGACTCTGCAATATTGCGTGGACATCGGGGGATGTTCCCCTGGATTGGCAGACCGGGGTGGTGGTCCACCTATACAAAAAAGGGGACCCGTAAAGTGTGTTCCAACTACAGGGGGATCGCGCTCTTAAGCCTCCCTGGTAAGGTCTATTCGGGGGTTCTGGAGAGGAGGGTCCATCGGATAGTCGAACCTCGGATTCAGGAGGAGCAGTGCGGTTTTCGTCCTGGTCATGGAACACTGGACCAGCTCTACACTCTCAGCAGGGTCCTGGAGGGTGCGTGGGAGTTTGCCCAACCAGTCTACATGTGCTTTGTGGACTTGGAGAAGGCGTTCGACTGCGTCCCTCGAGGAACCCTGTGGGGGGTACTCTGGGAGTATGGGGTACTGGGCCCTTTGATACGGGCTGTTAGGTCCCTGTATGACCGGTGTCAGAGCCTGGTCCGCATCGCCGGCAGTAAGTCGGGCTTGTTCCCGGTGAGAGTTGGACTCTGCCAAGGTTACCCTTTGTCACCGATTCTGTTCATAACTTTTATGGACAGAATTTCTAGGCGCAGCCAAGGTGTTGAGGGGATCCGTTTTGGTGGCCTTAGGATTGCTTCTCTGCTTTTTGCAGATGATGTGGTCCTGTTGGCTTCACCAGATCGTGATCTACAGCTTTCGCTGGAGCGGTTCGCAGCCGAGTGCGACACGGCCGGGATGAGGATCAGTTCCTCCAAATCCAAGGCCGTGGTCTTGAGCCGGAAGAGGGTAGAATGCCCTCTTCGGGTCAGGGAGGAGGTCCTGCCTCAAGTGTAGGAGTTCAAGTATCTTGGGGTCTTGTTCACAAATCAGGGAAAAATGGAGCGTGAAATCGATAGGCGGATAGGTGCAGCGTCTGCAGTGAAGCAAGCGCTGTACAGGTCTGTCGTGGTGAAGAGAGAGCTGAATCAAAAGGCGAAGCTCTCAATTTACCAATCGATCTACGTTCCTACCCTCATCTATGGTCATGAGCTTGTGACCGAAAGAACGAGATCTCGGATACAAGCGCCCGAAATGAGTTTTCTCCACAGGGTGTCTGGCCTCTCCCTTAGAGATAGGGTGAAAAGCTCAATCATCTGGGAGGGACTCAGAGTAGAGCCGCTGCTTCTCCACTTCGAGAGGAGCCAGTTGAGGTGGCTCGGGCATCTGTTTATCATGCCTCCTGGATGCCTCCCTGGTGAGGTGTTCCAGACAAGTCCCACCAGGAGGAGACCCAGAGGAAGACTCAGGACACGCTGGAGGGACTATGTTTCTCGGCTGGCCTGGGAACGCCTCGGGATTCCCCCGGAGGAGCTGGTCCAAGTGGCTGGGGAGAGGGAAATCTGGGCCTCCCTACTTAGGCTGCTACCCGACCCCGGATAAGCAGAAGAAAATGGATGGATGGATATATATATATATATATATATATATACATTACATATATAATTTGTATTAGACCACATGGAGCAATCCTGTGTTTGATCCAGAGTTTAACCCTGTCCAAATGTGAAAGTGTCAATGTAAAACTACAACAGATTAACTTTAGGAACTATTTTAAGATGGCTGCCACAGTCAGGTTTATACATAAAAAGCTCAAACATGGTGTGGTAGTAGCAGAGTCATCTCAAACTCTTACTCTAAACGTATGGGAACGAGCAGGATCTGTGTTTAGAAGTTGACCTTGAATCAGCTGTCAAGTCAGCAAAGTGAAAATGAAATTAAATGTTCAGTCATGACCAGTGGTTAATTTAATCAGTTTACAAATTAAGCCCTGACTGTAACAAGTTTACTGTGATGTTACAGCAAGAAGATTTTCTTTTTATACACTTGACAAAGATCAGACACCTTCTGTAGTCAGACAGGCTCTACTCTGAAGCTCTACCACAAACACCACAGAATACAGCTCAGAACTTCAACTAAATGTTGGCAAACATGAAGAAGGTAAACAAATAAATGATGTTAGAGACTCCTGGTTCATCTGAAACGAGTCCAGATGTTCTCCTGTCACGAGAAATGGCCTCACCTGTTTTACCTGCAGTGATGGTTACCTACCTTCACCTGGACGTGTCTAGAGACGAGTACCAAGAATACTTTCAGTCTCAAAGTTCAAGTCAGGACCGCTCAGCCAATCAGGACAGGCGTGGGCGGAGTCAGTGGAAGCCGGTTTTCCGCAGGGACTTCAATTGCCATATTTGTTTGTACTTGTTTTTGCTAAATAAAGTTTTCTTTAATAAAAATAAACTTCAATACAGAAGTTCCTTTAACTTCAGAACACGTATATAACTTTATATCAACATGAAATTAAAAGATCACATTAAAATTATTTTTTTAAACTCTTTAGGGACCTTTAAAAAAAATCCACATATTTATTTAACGTCAGGTTTAGAATAAATAAATTAGACAAAACAGGCATTTTGGTCCACATTAGTATTACACCAAAAAAAAAAAAAGTTTTTTGTTTTTTTGTGTAAATTAGAACTGGTTCTCAAACATTTGACCGAGTAAAGATCAAATGACAAAGTCCAAATGAAAGCCTCGTCATAAAATGATGAAAGATTCATTTAAAATGATAAAGTTCTCGTATCTTATCCTCTGAGGACCACTGAGCACTGGAGGGCAGTGGCGTTACGGGAGCTTTAGAGAAAATTCTGACAGAATAAATATCAAGTTTTAGGGGAAAAACATCTTTATTACGGTAGTTGCACAAAACAAATATATAAAATAAAATCTAAAAAAAAAACCAAAAAAAACCATGGAACATATTGTTTACCACTTATACAAAAAACTGGGTCAGAGAGAATAATGTGATTGGTCTGTTGTAAGAAATCGATAAGGGTCAGAGAGGATCAAAACAATAATCAGGTTTGGGCCACTTGATCCTGGAGTGTGACTGATCTGAACACAGGAAGTGACGTTCAACTGTTGGAAAGGACAGATCAAGATCTGCTCACATCATTTCAAAAACATTTAAGAACTGAGGGAAAGTTTCTGACAATTATACAAAGTGGAAGAAAACATCCTAACATTTAAGAAATTTGGCATAATACACATTTTACCCATTTGTCACACGACTGACGTATTTTCATTTAAACTCAGCACAGCCAAGGTGAAACAGGAAGTGACATCACAGGGGAACTTCCTGGTCTTTGTTTTCTGAAACATCAAAGCTTTGACGACTCGGACAAAATGATGTGAAGAAACATCAGATCCTTATGTCTGTCTGTGTGCCATGTCTCCTTTGACATCACTTCCTGTTACTGACATCACTTCCTGTTACTGCACAGAAGAATATCTCAACTGTTCATCTCAGCTGTGAAATTAAATGTAATCTTTTCAACAATTAATTTATATTTATTACAGGAATTAGATGTCTGGAAGCAGCAGGTGTGGAAACACCTTAACAGGTGTTTCCACACCTTTCATTTTATTTCGGTGATTGTATATCTTTTTTCTTTTCTTTAAATTGTATTATATTTGTTGTTTGGATGAAATGAAATGAATAAATAAAACATACATACATACATACAAGGTGTCGGGTCCTGACCCGGCACCACAGGTACTGGTTTCATACTGGTCAGTCAAAAACACCAGTGTTTGACGTCAGGCTGTTGCTGTGGCCTGCTCTGGTCTTTGGTTGTTGGTCGTCTCGTCTCTGCTGCTCACCTGCAGAAGTTTTGCTTCCAACAACAAAGCTGGCAGACTGGACGCCCCATACTGCACCAAGAGAGCACAGAGACACAGGTCTGTTTAAAGATGGACGTCTGGGTGAGACGTGGATTGATCATGTGGTGTGTTGGTACCGTCTCGGTGTTGGCGCCGTGCTGCCGTCTGTGGTCCAGGTACCATCTGCTGAGCCCCCGGAGACCCCGGAGGAACGAGTGGCCCTGTTTGATGTCAGAGAGTCTCTGCTGAAGTTCACCTTCCTCCTTCTGCAGCAGACACACCTGCCTCTCTGCCCTGAGGAGACACATCACACAGAGCTGAAAGCACCGGACCTTCTGCTCTATGAGCGGCTACTTTTTTCACACGCTTTGACCCACGCAACTTACACAACGCTGTGGATAATTTATGGATTTTATTTTATTTTATTCCTGGATGGGCTAACGAGCTTCCTGCTGCCAAAAGCATTCATCTTTGTCACACCCAGGCGCTCACATATCTGCATGGCTCTCTTGTGGGGTGGGGGGTCCTCATGACACACAGACGGAGTGAACCCCACACGTCTTCATGACAACCACCTCCCTCACTCATGGTTACTGCCCAACACAAACCAGCACATAATGAACAAACTAACAAGAACAGACTAATCACTAAGAGAACAATGCTAAACAACTAGCTGAAATCATTAACAATGAACATAAATTGTACCCAGTTTAATTTACTGGGTGGCCCCAGTGGGCCTCAGTTGAGGCAGTCAACCACAATGGACCACAGAATGTTACACGTCGTACCAGTAACATGACTGGTTAATAAAAAAGGTACCACTTTATAATAAGGCTGTCCTTATAGATGGATAATAGTTTATAGATATGTTTTAATTACTCTATAAACACTTTATAAATCATTACTATCTGCTTATTAAGCATTAATTAATGGTGACAGAGACAAAATGACCAGTTTGTTGCCAAATAGTGAGTCAAATCTGTTCACCTATATATTTCATCTAGTTGTAATATTAAACATTTCACACTACGTCACTACCTTATAAGCACAATAAGTATTTGTAAACCTAATGTGTTTAGGATATAATATTAGTTGTAGATATTATAATGCAGTGATAAACTACAATATCACATGCTAAAGACAAATACAATTACAAATGCTTACTGTTCATACACAAGGTAGTGACGTAGTGTGAAATGTTTAATATAACAACTCTAGATGAAATATATAGGTGAACAGATTTGACTCACTATTTGGCAACAAACTGGTCATTTGTCTCTGTCACACTTAATTCATGCTTAATAAGCAGTTATTAATGATTTATAAAGTGTTTATAGAGTAATAATGTATCTATAAACACTTTATTAGCATCTATACAGGGAGCAAAGTGGTAAGTTTTTTTTTTAAATATTTTAAACCAGCCATGTTACTGGCACTGTTCAGAAAAAATGATTTAATGTACATATTTGTTTGTTACTGGTACGTAGTGTGGCATTCTGTGGTCCATTGTGGTTGACTGCTGGTCACATGGACTCAGGGAGGGATTATGGGTACAATTTATGTTAATTGTTAATGATTTCAGTTAGTTGTTTAGCATTGTTCTCTTAGTGATTAGTCTGTTCTTGTTAGTTTGTTCATTATGTGCTGGTTTGTGTTGGACAGTAACCATGAGTGAGGGAGGGGGTTGTCATGAAGACGTGTGGGGTTCACTCTGTCTGTGAGTTGAACATTAAGATAAAGTCCATGAATCAACATCTGGTGGTTGATTCTTGATCTACAACAAGCTGTGCTGCTAATCATGTTACAACGTGCCATTTATTTATTTATCTAGTGTGTGCAGCTTATATTCAGGTGCGCTCTATAAACCAGTAATTATGGCATTCGGGCCCTGCCCCGAGGAGCCACACATCAGAGTAAAGAACAGTAATCATCAAGTTCAAGGGACTTCCAGGGGCTACCATCTGTGGAGAACCTGAACAAAGAGCGGTCAGGAGGTGACAACTACTCCACAGCTCTGAACAGTGTGTGCACAGCGGTGCCGTGCACGAGTCCATTCTCACCTCATCAGCTCTGCCTTAGCAGCCAGCAGCCTCTGAGTCTTTGTGCGAATGGACGCCGCCGCCTGAGAGGCAGAAGAAACAAACAGCATGAGTTGTGAGTCTGCGACAGTCTGACACCAGAGCCAGGTCGTGTCTTCACCTTCACGTTGTCTCTCTTCAGAGTCTGCAGCTGCTTCAGTGAAGAGATCTGGAGGAAGACAGGAAAACACATGTGGACCGGGTCACAGTCCTGACAGAGATCCACTTTGATCCGTTAGCTCATGGCACTGCCCTGAGGTCCACCAGAACCAAAAACTGACCAGAGCCACCCCCAAAACCTGAGCAACCTGTTCAATTCAATTCAGTTCAGTTTATTTCTGCAGCTCCAAGTCCCAGCAGAAGTTCTCTCAGGTCTCTGGACACAAACATTCACACACATCATAAAGACGATTAGGAAAAGTTCTTTAAAGAAGCAGCAGATTGAGTTGAACCTTCACTTCATCTCAGTCTCATCCTGAGCAAGCACGAAGGAGACAGTGGAAAGGAAAAACTCCCTTTAACAGGAAGAACCCTCCAGCAGAACCAGGCTCAGGACAACTGGTTGAATTCACTGGGTCTCATGGACAAATATAACTGGGTATCATCAGCGTGCTGTTTCAGATCTTCACCTGATGGAAGCGTTTAGAAAGTGCTGGTCCAAGCACTGAACCTTCAAGCGTCTGGAGTAGACCTGCAAACCTGAGCCTCGTACAGCAGATGTTCAGATCTTTCCACAGAACTTCACATCAGAACAACCATCACTTCTTTAACTGGCAGGAAGTAAAGCTGTGGTGACCCAAACCCCCCAAAGTTCAGATGCGTCACCTTCTCCAGGAGCTGCTCCTCCGTGTTCCTGGAGAAACTCCTGATGGACTCTCTGACGGCTGCAGGCTGCACCGACTCACTGAAAAAAAGAAAAGCAGTCATTTTATTCCTTCAGAACGAGGGACAGACATGACTAGCATGAAGTGAGAGGACGAGGCTAAAGGTGGACCTGAGGGACCAGGACTGGGTTTTACCTGTACTGGTCACAGAAGTACTGGAAGGCATCCAGAACAACCTCAAAGTGGGATCCTCCTGGACCTGCAGGACCCTTCCTCCTCTGTCTGTCCCTGTCGGACGTTTGTCCAGATGTTGCTCCGTCTCCAGGTCTTTTATCTGATGACGACTTCTTGGATCTGGACCTCTTCCTCAGGGACGTTCTGGGTCGACCAGAACTCAGCACCTTAGTCTTCTTTGGACTTTGGTTCTGAATAAAGAAACACCAGTGAAATGTGCTCTACATTCCTGAGCCTGCTGGACTCTGCAGTCACTTCATACCCAGCTGGTGTCTTCGTCTGTCCCCTCGGAGGACAGGACCCTGCCATGTGTCTTGTGGACTGCACCAAACCCCGTCGCCTCCTGGAAACAGAACAGTCTTCAGTTTGTGTGGTCTCCAAAGTTTGCATGACTGTTGTCCAGCAGGTATTTACCTGGGAGTCAGAGGTTTTGTCCCTCGGTCCAGTTCCTGTCGTCTTGTCCTCCTTCACTTGTCCCCTTCGAACCGGCAGAGGACACAGACAGTAAATCAAAATGAGCAGGTGTGATGTATCTGGATGTTAAATGACAAACAGCTGCTCATATGTGGTCGGGTCCCAAAAGGTACCAGGTCCAGGAGGGGACCCATCGACCCTGAGGCTCCTCCTGGGAGCACCTCGGTCCTGCAGCCCCCCAGAGAACGCCTCGGGGAACACGGTCATACAGAAACCTTTTCTTCAGGTCTACGAAAGACGTGTAGACCAGAGACTCAAACTCCCATGACCCCTTTAGAACCTGCACGGGTGAAGATCTGGTCCACTGTTCCAGGACAAAGACCAAAGCACCCCCCACCCCCTGAATCTGAGGTTCTTCACTGGGTCTGAGCCCCCCTTCCAACACCAGGAGGTGAACGCTACCGGAGGCTGCGAGGTGCAGGACTGCAGGACCATCAGTGACCGTAAACCCACTGGTTCTGATCTAAACCAGCTGAGGACACCAAGACCAGAGACAGTCTGTTGGACTGAGCAGACCAGTGACCAGCAGGACATGGATGTCCTCAAACTGAGACCACCTACAGTCCAGGCAGGTCTTTGTGACGTTCTCATGATGAATTTATAATAAACTGTGCGGCTCTGGTTGGAACTCTGTGGTCCCCCAGCTGTCCAGCCTGCTGTCCCTGTCCTCTGCGTCCCTCTGAAGAGACGTTCTTGTCTCTAAAGAAAACTCTTGAGAAGTTTCATTCATTTGAAGATGGACACGTCTGTTTTCTTTACGATGTCTGAGTTCAGTTTCCTCCACGGCTCTTCTCTTCAGACACACCTCACTGTGTTGGATGAAGTTCCTCCATGAACCCAAAAGAACCGGGCTCAGAACCAACACCAGCTGGTGGTCCTACATGATGAAGACAGCCTGATGAGACTCCTCACCTTGCTGCAGACCCCCGTCCTCTGCTCCTCCTCTTCCTCCTGCTGTGGAGTTCGTCTCCACCCAAACCGCGGTCGGTGGTTGGAGCAGGCTGGAGGTTCTGTTCTGACCCGTCCTCTCCGTCTGCTGCGTCTTCAGCTGTTGTCCTCCCTGAACGTCTGCAGGCAAAATGAGCTGAAGGTAAACCTGAGCTGCTGCAGCATCAGTGACACGGACCAACTGTCCTTCAACCTTACCTGGTCTTGTCCTTCACTCTTATACTCCTCCTCCTCTTGTCCACATCCTCCTCCTTTGTCCCCGTCCTCTCCACAGTGTGTCCTTTGCCTGGTGTCTTCAGTGTTCTTTTGTCCACCTGGACATTTAAAGCTTCCTCCAGGGCAGTGCTGTGAAGTGGGTTGCCTAGGCAACAAAAGACAGAGACCTTGAAAACAGGAAGTGCTCAAACAGAAAACAAACCCGAGAGAAAAACTGACAGGAGCAGCAGCAGCTAGCTGTAGCACATCCTGTGCAGTCTGGGACACTTTCTGCTGGAACGACAGTGTTCACATAACCACTCTACTACGGATTGGACTGGTTCTGATTCGGCAGTGGTCCACATTGATCTGGACCCCTTCAGAGCAGCCGTCAGTCCCTCAGTCTGTTCAGGAACTAAAATCTTTAAAGAAGCTATCTAAAGCAGGTAAGATATTAACTGCTCATAACCTCCTACTAAACCCCTCTTTTAAAAGGCCTGAACTAGGACTTGAAAGTCTTCATGAGACACCAACCTGGACTCAAGTCCTGCTGCAGGCCCTCCATGAAGCTGGCTCTGTCTATGGAAGACAGGTCGGGAGAACCCATCTGAAAGAACCAGAACTTCTCTTTAATGATCCAGGTCAGGTTTCTGTCTCACATCTCTGATAATGGTGGACCGGTCCACCATCAGACCGGTCTGATGGACTCACCTGTCCCCTGTCCTCTGGGTCTGGTGGATCTGGGACCACTTTCTTTTTAGCCCTGCAGGAACAAAAACTCGGTTTAACCAGGAGAACCTCACATCTGGTCTTACTGTTGTGTTTTCATGTGAAAGAAATTGTAAATGCTGTCATTTAATAGAACTACACATGATATTTAGCTAACAACAGCTGTATTACTGCATTAGCATTAAGCTGTAATCAGGAAAACTCTGTTTTTAATGTTTACCAGCTGCGATAACTTTAACAAACTGCGGAGTTTGACTCTCATAAATTAAACTTCTTACCTCCTCATTTGGCTTACGTCAACAAAAATAAAACTCCACGTCCGGAACACAAACAAACACAGCTCAGATCTCTCTTGAAAATGAGACTAACCTGTTTAAATAAAGTTGAATGAAAAACGGTTTCCCGCGCTGAAGGTTCAACTTTCAGATTGTACCATTCCAGGTCCGCGGGGGCAAAAGGGCTCACCACAACTAAAATAACATTTAAAATCGATACCAACAGTTTTACAAGATTTAATACATATATAGATAATTCACGAAGATAAAATATAACACCACTCACAAACGTTTATATTTGTATTTTCCTTTATTTTATCCCCAACCACAGACACCAATCTTGCATGTTTAGTTGTTTTTTGGTTTCTTCTTCGTCGTCGACTTCTTTCTCTTGTTCTGATTTTTATTGGCGGTTGGAAAACTTGTTTTAAGTGCATTACCGCCACCAACTGGGCTGGAGTGTAGATTTGGAGCACAGACTAGTATTGAAATTCATAGAGTAAGGAAATTTTGGGTTGTCGTTATTAATGAGAATCTGACATGGAAATCTCATGTAAATTACTTAAGAATAAAAATAGCAAAATCAACGGCATTGCTGTATAAAGTAAAAGTTTTTGAATAACAAAGCATTGTATATATTGTATAATGTAATGATTGTTCCATTTCTTTTTTCGATTGTATTCAAGTTTGGGGAAAAGCATGCAAAACAATTACAAACCCTATTTTCATTTTACAAAAAAAACAAACAAAAAAAAACTATAAGAATTATTAATAGGAAGTGCTATGGTCACCCAACAAATATATTATTTCATCAGTTTAAATTATTAAAATTTTTATGATTTGGTTGAATATAGCATTTTACAAGTAATGTATAAAGCTCATTAAAAATATTACCCCAAAATATTCAATTAAAATTTGTTTAAAAAAAAAAGAGACATTATAACCTTAAGGGAATGGAAATTTTTTTTTTTTCATTTAGCCTTTATTTATCCAGGTTAGTCTCATTGAGCCACGAGAACTCATTTTCAAGAGAGACCTGTTTTAGGGAGCACATGGTGGGGGTTAAGGGCCTTGCTCATGGGCCCAGAGTGGGGCGAATGAGGGTGGGGGCAAGTGCGGGTGTTTCACCTACCCCACCCACAATTTTTTTTTTTTTTTTTTTATGTTGTCGGGGCCGGGGCGTGAACCGGCGATCTCCGGATCACAAGCCCACCTCTCTAACCTCTGTGCCACCACTCCCCCAAATAAATGCCGTTCCATACCATTTTATTCAGAGTCAGAGTTTCTTTATTGTCATTCGCACCTCATGTGGTACATGTGGTGGAGAGAAATTATGTACACAGGGTCCCAGTTACATCCAACAATAAAATGTATAAGAAAAACAGTAATAACATCTAAGATTTGAACTAAGAAAAACATCAACTAAATATAGCACTCATAACATAAAAACATTATGTCGAACATCAGCACAAACACGAACATGAGTCTGTGTGAGCTGATGAGCACGCATGAACACATCAACATTGAAACAGATCAGCAGCAACATGAAACAGATCAGCAGCAACATGATGGGGTTTTTTTTTCACAGTGATTATTCTAGTTAGAGATTCATGAGTCTAACACCCTCCGGGTAGAAGCTGTTCGTCAGTCTAGTGGTTCTACACTTAATGCTCCTCAACCTCCTTCCTGAGGGGAGTGGGGCAAAAAGTGTGTGTGCTGGGTGAGTGGGGTCCTTCCTGATGCAGGTGGCCCTCTTCCTGCATCTATTTATTTATTTATTTAATTATTTCTATAGCACTTTACACAACCATGGTGATGGTGACCAAAGTGCTTAACAAAAAGCAGTACTTAAAATGACAACAGGTTAAAAGCAAGAAAACACAACATAATAGCACAAATAAAACCAGAAATCTAGAGGTGTAGATGTCTGTGATGGTGGGGAGACTGACTCCGACAGGCTTCTGTGCAGCCTTCACCACTCTCTGCAAAGCTTTTCTTTCTGCAGCTGTGCAGCCTCCATGCCACACATTGATGCTCGAGCACAGGATGCTCTCCACTGCACACCTGTAGAAGGAGGTGAGGACTGAGCTTCCCAGACCAGCTCGTCTCAGCCGCCTGAGGAAGTAAAGTCTCTGATGAGCTTTCTTGATCAGGCTGGTGGTGGTGTTGCTCCAGCTGAGGTTGTCATTCGTGTGTACACCCAAGTACTTGTAGCTGGAGACCATTTCCACCGCAGATCCTCTTATGTTCAGGGGGGTGTATGTTTTTTTGTTCCTTCTGAAGTCCACAATCATCTCCTTTGTCTTCTTCACATTGATGTGAAGGTTATTCTCTTTGCACCAGCTCTCCAGGTATTCCACCTCCTGCCTGTATCTGGACTCATCATTGTTTGTGATGCATCCCACCACCGCTGTATCATCTGCAAACTTTACAATGTGACAGCCTGGATGGGTAGCTGCACAATCATATGTGAGCAGAGTAAACAGGAGGGGGCTCTCAACACACATCCCTGAGGAGAGCCAGTGCTGAGGGTTATGGTGGAGGAGGAGAAGTTGTGGATCCTCACTAACTGTGGTCTGTTTATTAAGAAGTCTAGTACCCAGTTGCAAATCGAGGGGCTTAGTCCTAGTGTGAGTAGTTTGTCCATCAGGGTTTGGGGGATCATGGTGTTGAAGGCGGATATGAAGTCCACAAAGATCATGTGGACGTAAGAGTTTTTCTGCTCCAGGTGGTTGAGCGCAGTGTGGACCACAGAGGAGATTGCATCCTCTGTTGATTGGTTCTCACGGTATGCGTACTGATGAGGGTCCTCGTTGATGTTGATGGTTGTTTTGATGCGAGTCATGACCAGTTTTTCGAAGCATTTAGCGACTATCGTGGTGAGGGTCACTGGCCAATAGTCATTCAGACCAGTCACTGTAGAGCTTTTTGGGACTGGGATGATGGTGGCAGTCTTCAGGCAGGTGGGAACTGTCTCCAGGGTAAGTGAAGTGTTAAAGATGTCTGCCAGCACCTCACAGAGCTGATCAGCACATTCCTTCAACACTTTTCTGGGGATGTTGTCTGGGCCGGTTGCTTTGTGCAGATTAATCCTTCTGAAAGTACTCCTTACTTCGGCTGAGGTCACGCTGACAGAGAGATTTTATTTATAGAGCACTTAAAACAGTGACAAGGCCAACCAAAGTGCTGTACAGACAGAAAAACAGGCAACACACAAAGCAATATAAAAAATGAGGTAAATCAGAATATAGACATAAAAACGATGCAGATAATAAATATGACGACTAACCAGTGTGGAGCATACAGGTTCAAAACACAGATCACCTGGTGTTGAAAGCTACTGAATAGTAATGTGTTTTTAAACGGGATTTGAAAATGGAGAGGGAGGGGGCCTGTCTGACAAGCAGAGGTAACTCGTTCCAAAGTCTTGGTCCTGCTACAGAGAAGGCCCTGTCACCTCTGCACTTAAGACAAGTTCCTGGAACTGTGAGGAGCAATTGGTCCGCTGGCCTCAGGGAACGTGGTGGGACATACGGTTGTAGCAGATCAGAAATATGGGGGGGGGGGGCAAAACTGTTCAGCAATTTGTAGACATACAGGAGTATTTTGAACTGGATTCGAAGGTGAACCGGTAGCCAGTGCAGTGAGGCCAAAACTGGAGTAATGTGCTCTCTCTTTTGCCTGTACTGGTTAAAAATTGGGCTGCTGCATTCTGGACCAGTTGTAGTCATGCAATGGAGGTCTGACTGATACCAAACAGGAGCAAATTGCAGTAATCAAGCCTAGATGTAATGAATGCATGTATTACTATCTCCAGGTTATTTTAGGATAATATGGGCTTCAGTTTAGACAGCCGCCTCAGTTGGAAGAAACATGATTTAACAATCATGTTTACATGATTGTTAAGTTTAAGGGAAGGGTCCATTATTATATTCAACCTGTCCTTGGCCCGTGCTGTGATACCGACCTGCTTCAAAACCACCTCCATCGTCCCGATACCCAAAAACTCAAAACCATCAAGACTCAACGACTACCGTCCGGTAGCTCTCACCTCCATAATCGCAAAGTGTTTTGAGCAGCTGGTCCTAGTACACCTCAAATCCTGTCTCTCCCCCCCCCCCCCCCCGGTCCCCACCAATTTGCATACCACCAGAACAGGAGCACAGAGGATGCAGTCTCCATAGCGCTGCACTCTGTTCTCTCACACTTGGATAACAAAAACACCTATGCCCGGATGCTGTTCATAGATTTTAGTTCAGCATTCAACACAGTCATCCCCTCAAAACTCATCACAAAACTCACAGACTTGGGCATCAGTTCCCTCATGGGCAACTGGTTACTGGACTTTCTGACCAACCGACCACAACATGTCTGGCAGGATAACCACTGCTCATCTACCATCACTATTAACACCGGTGTACCACAAGGCTGTGTGATGAGTCCCTTCCTCTACTCCCTCTACACCCATGACTGCAAACCTGTTGATGGTTCCAATACCATCATTAAGTTTGCAGATGACACCACGGTGATCGGCCTCGTCAAAGACAACAATGAGACCGCTTATAGGGAGGAGGTGGATCGTCTGGCTGAGTGGTGTGACACCAACAACCTGCTGCTCAACACTGAGAAGACTAAGGAGCTCATTGTGGACTTCAGGAGGAACGCTGGCCCACATCCACCCATCTACATCAAGGGGACAGTGGTGGAGCATGTGAACAGCTTCAAGTTCCTGGGTATCCACATCTCAGAGGATCTCACCTGGACGACCGGCTGTTCCAAGCTGATCAAGAAGGCTCACCAGCGCCTTTTCTTTCTGAGGACTCTGAGGAAGAACCACCTGTCCTCATACATCCTGGTGAACTTTTACCGCTGTACCATTGAGAGCTTCCTGACCAACTGCATCACAGTCTGGTACGGGAGCTGCTCTGCCTCAGACCGGAAGGAGCTGCAGAGGGTGGTGAAAGCCGCCCAACACATCACCGGAGCACCACTTCTTGCCATAAAGGACATC